AATACTACATAACATGGTTATAGATGCATTGTCACATAGGCACACACCGACACAAAGCTCTATCCTAATGAGGACGTAAACATACAATTCTTTGTTACTTTGTAACACGTTACATACACTACTGTTACAAGCAGCTGAAAAAGCCAAACAGTCACAGAGCTAAATGTAGAATAACATGAATAACCTTTCTCTCAGTTCATTACAGGTTATTTGCACTGACCCCTAACATGGAACCAGTGGAGCGGGACAATTCCACCATAAGTGATACCTCTGTTGCCATTCAGTTTGTGGTATTGCTTTCGTTTTATTCTTTTATTTAATAATGAATGTGATATTGTAGAACTTTCTTTTTAGATGAAGGCAAGTTGTCATTGTTTTATAGAGGATAAACCACTACCATCAGTCTGCACCAAGCAATAAACTAACTGGCAGACAGACTAGAATTTGACTATATAGATTAATTTGGGATGGGTATTAAAATGTGTTATTTGATTGAATTTTGAGGTCATTTGGTTGAAGAATTCATTGTCATATTACATGTTCTGTTGCTTTTCATATCTAGGTAGTATCAAGGCAGTATGACTGAGATTGATAAAGGCTTGAGCTTATGGAGTCTTAATAGACTCTTAATATAACTTAATATGCCATGAAAACATTAAGTGTATAGAATAAATAATACAACAACAGTATGACAGAAGAGATAGTAAGTATCGATGAAGGAGCTATATATATTTTTTTTGTAAATCAAAGTATAAAACTATTTTTTTTTTGGTTTTTATTTTGTTTTCTTTTTTAGAACCCTGAAGGCATCATTTTCCCACTCGATACAGTTTCTGTGAAATCAGGAATCCACTCTGGACATTTTCAACTTAATGAAATTGTCAGGTATATATGTTTTAATTCCATGCTTTTGTTGTTTTGTTTTGTTTTTGATTTTTTGGAGGGGTGGGGTGGGGGGGTTGGGTTTCTTGTATGTTACTTTTACATGTATGGAATAACTGAGACATAGTGATAAGTAACATGAGTTTTAACATGCATATATTAAGTACTAATTGGAATGCTAATATTTGCAAGTTGCGCATGTTAAGCACCCGTACCATCGTCTCTGTGTTTATTATAACGGAATTTATTATTGAGAACGTGTGCGGTTTTGCAGGCAGCTGATCCATTTACATTTTCTAGATACTTGATGTGAGAAAGGGGTATTCTGCATCAAAGAAGTGGACAGAGCAGTTAGAAAGTAGTTTCACATTATATGTGAATGATTTTATAAAGAATTAACTAAACATCACAGGGTAATTTTATTGACAGTATGCCATGCATTTAATGCCCCTTAAAACATTTTTTTCTTGCGTTTTCATCACAAAAAGGTGTTAGTGTCTGCCAGTAAGATGTGCCCTATTTTGCTGAAAAAGGTGTGCATAGGATTTTATCCAAGCATGTCACTAAAGCAGACATTAAAGTAGACATTAAAAGATAAACAAAGGAAACTTTCAGCAAATACAGTAAATGTGGAATCTGCTTGACACAAAAAAAACCTGGCAAACACACTTACAATTATTCATAAACATCAGCATTTCAACATATGCATGTGTGAAATGCACTTCACACACGCACAGTTGTTTGTCGCCAGATGCCACGTTTATTTCTAGTTTTCATTTATTATGATAGTCCACAGTCTGACAGCTCCGGTCTCAGCTGATTTCCAGCCTTCCCTCTGCTCCTCTCCCGTCTCACTATAAAAGGGGAAGGAAACCATCATCAGTCCAAAC